CTGCAGGCCAACAACGAGGATACCAGCCCTTGATTTCGAGGCCCTTTCAAAAAAGAACCCTGCCTCAGCTTTCAGCTTTCGCAGCCAAAAAGACGCGATTCGACCTAGATCCTTTCCCGAACGACCTTTGGGCCCTCCTGACGGATGCATGTCCGTTTGGTCAGGCGCAAGCTGCGCCGGCTGGGCTTTGAGACCTTGACGCAGCTGGCGCAGCTGCCGCGGCCGCAGGTGCCGGAGGCGGCCAAGGAGCTGAAGATGGCGCCGCGGCGCTTGGAGAAGCTGAGGCCGGCGAGCCGCGAGTCGAGTCGAGTCGACTGGTCCGGAAAAACGGGAGTCTTGAGGTCAAAAATAGGCACCCAACATGGCTTGCCCTGGTAAATGGAACGGTCCCCTGGTGGGTTAATTTCGACCCATACCCAAATGGAAGTCTTGCATAGCTGGGCTTGGAATGTTGCTGTATTTGACATTATTTCACTCTTTCTTTCTTGGGGCTTTGGGCGTTTAGGAGCTTGCAGCACACCCTCATGATGTTATGTTGGCAGATTGAGTACTCGCAAGCTTGTCCCATCCTAGTGGAGCTGAGGACAACAATTGCAAGCAATCACAATCCCATCGGAGTGTAGGCGCAAACTCCTTCACAAGCTCCCACAGAATTCCATGTGGCACAAAGTTTTCCGTTGTTGCTTTATTGCTTTGGCATTTCCGGCAATTTATTTGCCCCTCAGAAAAGCAGCACACATGAAGCTTTCAAAGACGGGTTCCCGCCCTCTCATCATGGTTGGTGTGCTGCCAAGCAAAAATACCCAGCACCGTGCCACCCTCTTTGTTGCGCCTGTCAGGCTACAAGCATGGCTCCAGTGTCTTGGTGCAGATTTCGCCTGCTCCAGACGGCCTTCCCGGCAGTTGGTTCAATCCAACCTTTGCAGGAAAGAAGCCTGCAGAGTTAGTGGTTTGGACTAGTCTCACTGGAAAGATTGTCAATCAAGATATCCTGCAAGACACAAGCGCGAAGTTGCTTTCCGGGCTCTTGACGGTGCGGCTGCGCGCTTTATGGTCCAGTTGATGCATAGCTGCAGGGGACTCCAATCCAATGCCTTGAGTAAGATTGAACAAATCGTCCCCTCTCTCAAACTCAGGCCAACATGGTGATTTTTGAACGGCCCTTGAACTGGATTTGCCGTCCTGACTGTCTCCCTGTTCTCCTCGTCTTTGAGGTACAAGTCTCGGAAAACCAAGAGGCCGGCATCAAGGGTGCTGGCGGGTGCTGCGAAGACGCTGGCGCGCCTGCCCGAGGAGTGGGCGGCTTGTCCGAGTTCGGAGGTTCCAGCTTCGTGCTGAAGGCTTGAAGAGAAGTCTGGGTTCAGGCGTGGTTTGTCATCACCATAAACCTTCAAGACAGTCATGAAAGGCGATGGGCAGACTGCGAAAGCCTGCGAAAGCTTTTTGCACAAGTGACTGAGAAGGGTCTGCGAAGAAGGGTCTGCGAAATCATCACGAACAAGGCATTGTTGAAGAGTGGGTGTCGCGTGGTGTTGCACCTTTTGGCTTCACAAAACATGTCAGGGCACAGGAAATAAGTTGCAGTTGTGTATTCCTTATGGATTGCAACAGCAGGCCTCGTCCCAGAAAGGGGACAGCCATATTGGCATATGCATCCACTAAACAAGCCAAGAAGATGGTTTAGCAGAGTGCGCAGTCATAGGCCACACCTGCCAAAGCGAACCAAGTGGTCACACAAACCACCGCGAGGTTTCGCGATTGTAAGTTGTTGGAGGGGGTTTATGAACCAGGTTTCCGGAGTGGCGGATGCGGGTGGTGGCAGAGATTTTGAGCTGGAGACCAGCTTGGGGCTGTGGGTTTCAGCAGCGTGAGATTCGAAACTCCAGAGGCTCACCAGCGCGATGTGCAGCCCAGGTAGCTTGACTCCCCGTTAAGGGTGTGAGACATACAGGGTTTGATTCCTCAGCCTTCAGTCTTGAAATGTGCCCACTCGCGGAGATGTGCAGGATGACGAGGGCGATCTCTTTCTGGATTTGGAGGGGATCTTCACGAACGAGCCGTGGGGAATGCACGACTATCTCATCGGTATCTGCATGCAGGATGGCACTTATCATCACTGGTGGTCTCATGATGATATGAGCCACTTCGAGCAGGTCCTGGACTGGATCTCTTCCAGGCGCCAGCAGTTCCCTTCTCTGCACGTCTACTGTTATGGCCACTACGAGGCTGGGTTGGCAAACATTGGGCTCTGAACTGTGGTTTGGTTGCTCTCAAGGCAGTGCAGACCTTACTCAAGGCGTGTTTTACTTAAACGCCGATTGAACAAATTGCCGGATGGACTCTGAGGTCTTCACTTGTCAGCCCCCCACGCTTCCCCCCTGTGAGGGGACCGCATTTCGGCGCTTTGCCGACAGCGCCGACTCCAGGTCAAGGAAGCTGGCCGAGGAGCTGCTGAGCATTTTGGTGGATTTGCATCCGCTGGTGAAAGGGTCACTGGCACTGGGCCTGCCTGGCTACGGCCTCAAGAACGTAGAGAAGATGTTCAAGCAGCTTGTTGTTGACTGCGCACGTATTTGCAAAGCGCATGCAAGCCAAATGCAACGTATCCGGAACATTGGCTGTGCTCTTTGGGTAGGGCAGCGGTGATCCCTCCACCAGCACATTGTAGGCCAGCGCTTGGAGACTGGGTCCTGGGCAGCCATGAGCCACTATTTTTCGGCTGGACGGCAGTCTTTATGGATTCTGTGGCAATGGCTACCGTTGTTTCGCAAAAAGAACCCAACATAGCACGGGCGGGCGATGCGCGAGCGAGCTCAGCTTCCATTCGTGATCCCAAGGCCACCGAGGGAGGGTGCGGTCGAGGATGCGGTGCAGTCCATGGTAGCATACATGCAGTGGCAGCAGGATGGGAATCCTGAGCTGCTGCGCCCCTTGGTGCAGACAGATCACGGTTCTCGGTTGTTGACCTAGTTCAAGATTTTCTACATTGCTGATGGGTATATGTCATGCCGTGGTCATCACTACGGAGGGCAAACTTGTGCATGTTTCAACGCGCTATCATGGTGTATTCTCTTCATCTTTTTTGCACAGCTATCCGTTTGCACCTCGTGCCTTCTAAAACATCAAATATGAGTGTCCATACTCTCAAGACGAATATGCTCATTCCCACATGGCGCACGTCACAAGAAAGTCCTTTGAAGAACAGGGTTCCGTCATTTTGCATGATGTACACAAGAATAAATCCTGCTTGAATACAAGGGCTTCATTCTCTCACGTTGCATACTGGCCTCCCTCTGCAGGCCAGATCCGGGAGTACAACCGCGACGACTGTATCTCAACGAAAAAGCTCCTCTCATGGTGGCTTGTCTCAGCGACATCCTGGCTACACCCTAGCTCTTTTCAGGGAGTCTAGACTGTGGCGCACATGACAAGTCTTGGTTGGCTGCAGAGTCATGTGTTGCTCAGGACTAGTCGTAGTTTCTTTGACTCCTCTCAAATGTAAATCTGAAAAGCTATCTGCACCCGGTTATTCAGCGTAGCCTGGCGTACTTGAGCACCTATTTGTCCAACATTGCACACGCGGCGAGAGCTAAGGTTAGTAAGGGACACTCCCAGCCATAAATAGCAGCGGGCCCGTCCTTCTTAATTCTTTACATGTTTCTGGGTCGACCATTTTAACACCGGGTTTTGATTATGACTCAAATGGCGGCTAGGCTATAATGTATGCTTAAGCTGGGTGTTTAGCCCAGGCTCCGCAAGAGATGCGCCGCTTGGCTGTTCACGGAGCTTGTATCAAAGCTTCCTCATCCAGCACTTCTAGGGTCTGCTTTGGTTGCGATTGGATCTGGTTTCTGCTGTTTCGATCTGGCGTATCGATTTGGTGGGGCTTTGGGTGGGGTCCGCATCAATTCTGGGAGCACAGGCGCGTGGTGTTGCCAAAAGTGGCGCCAATGCCCGCAAAGGAGCCGCCGCGCACTTTGTCTGAACTTCGTTTTTTTTGTAGGTGATTCTTTGGGCGCCTGCATTTCATTTAGCATTGATCTGAAATTTGGCACGTTTGTAGGCCACGCCAAGGCATAATGTCCACATGACATGCCCCAGTGCTTGTTATATTGTTTGACTCAGGCCGACAGGCCACTGGTCCCGAGAAAGATCCCAGCATCTCCAAAGCTTTGGACGCCCTGGCCCAGTGGAGAGGTGAAAAGGCGCGTTTCAGGCCAAGATTTGCTAAGCCAATGATCTACCCCGAATGCCTGACATACATGCGTGACTGGCCATGGGAGGGTCCTGATGCCTCAGGAAGAGTTCAAGAGAGTTGTGGGATGAGCGGTTGCTCCTATTCGGCAGGTTGAGGCTCCTTGGCATGCTGAAGATGTATGATCACTCAACCATACGTATGCTCAGCCGCCACTTTGATTCAAAGCATGGCTTTGGGTAGACGACTTTTCCGGGTTTTGATTTTGTGACTCAAGTACCTTCGAGGCATAGCGCGCGTTCCCCAAATTTGGTCGCCTGCCAGGGGAAATTGATTGCACCTGGCTGTCCATGGGCGTCTGATCTTTCTGGTGTGACTGGCCCAACAAAGGGGTGGCAAAGGGGAGGGGGCGATGCACACTTCGCGGTGTACAGGGGGAGTGCCCACAGCGACACTGCCAAAATGGCAGGTGTTTTTTGTTGCGAGCCGTGCGTCACATGCCAACGACAGTGTCAGAATGTTGGGCATGTTCAAGCACAACAGCATCTTTGCCATCATGCTCGATGCTCTCAAACTTCCAATTCTCCCGTGCCACGTCTAAACAAATGTGGAACCAGAGCCTTTGAAGTCTAAAGTCTCGGCGTTAGGTGCTCTTGGGAACACGGCGCACACTTGTGGGGAGATGATCATATTCCTGGCCCCAAAGGACCATGGGATTTTTCCCATTTGGTGGGACATATTATCTTTTTTGAGGTTTTCGCAGGATGCATCCCATGTATCACTCAGCTTTTGATCAACTTGCCAGGTCGATGACCTGCGCTGCCGCAGGGCTTCCCAGCGCATGGAATTCGGGCCTCGGAGCAAGCCTGGCGCAGTTTTCCTAGGGGAACACCTCTTAGTGACATTAGTGTAGAGATTTTGGATCTTCCAGACATTGTGCTGACTCGGGTGGGGTTTGGCTCAAGCTGGGGGGTAGGGGGATCCTCCAAATCGGTGGGGCTGCCCTTTGGTTTTCCCTTCAACACATCCACGAAAGGGAACAGATACGCTCAAACAAAACAAACGACCTTTGCAGCGGATGGCACCTAGCTTTGCTCGTTCAGTTCAATAAGTTGAACTCAATCCCTCTTTTGGGAAGGGACATAACCTTGAAATACAACACAGTCCCATCAAGGAGACATCAGCGAAAGCTCAGCCGTTTTTTTCACTTGACTGTGTGCCTTTCTTCTTCCACACAATCGGGGAGAAGAGCTCTTTGTTTTCGGGCGGCTATGAAGGTGTGTGTGTGTGTGTGTGTGTCATGCTCCGCGCTTCGCTTGTTCATGGAAATCAACAGGTTATGAATGGGGCACCTACAATGGGGGCCCTATGCCACAGCTGAAGCAGGCCACTGCTTTAACAGGATGGCTTGTGAGAGTCACCAAAGGGCCTTCGGGGGCCTCAGATTCGTTATCGATCCGGGGGAAACCTAGGGCCATCAGCATGACTGAAACGCGGCGGAGACAAACAAACCAAATTGCGGAAACTGAGTTTAAACTAGGCCTATGAATTTTTAATAGAGAACCACCTCAAAATTGGTTGGTGAACATGAGATCCCCACCTTAAATGCTGTCCACTAAAGTGCCCAAAAGGATCCCGAATTAAAATTCATGCCCATATCACAGAGCCCTTTGGTCACTCAGACCTGGAAAGACTTGAGGCCTGGCAGTGCTTGAGGAGAGGAAAGAGCAGACGGCCCAGAAAGCCAAGGACTTGGACTTCTTGGGCTTGGGGGGGAATTGCTGTGGTGACTGGTGGCAAAGGGAATTTCCAAACGGACAAACGGCAATCGGCGCACAGCGCTCGCATGGTAAACATGTGGGCGCAGAGGCAGAGGCCGGAATGGAGTTGCAAGCTGTAACAGGTTTTACTGCTTGCGTCACGAAGGTGTTCTTGGAGGCTCTTTCTTGCCCCATGCCAAGCCCATGGGGAACTCAATGCGGAACCTAGAAATGCGCGCCCCCGCAGCCCCCGAACGTACATGCCCGTTGGGAGGAATGCAGCATGCTGCGCAGCACAGCAGCGAAGTTCAAAGATCAGTGCCCGCCATAGCATGGATTGGAGATCTCAGCATGCATGACAGGCAGTGCACTGCGAAAATAATTAAGCAACGATGCTCTCTGTTGCTGTGGCCCTCTCGTTTGACCAAAGGAGTTTGTTCTGGGAAGTCAGGTGATCCGTTGACAGCTTCTTCCGTTCGGTATCAGGTTTTTTGGCGTTGCGAGACAAACCTTTCAAAAGGGAAGTCGTGCCGTGTTGATCACACCACACAATCACTACAGCTTCCCTGTGTTGAAGTCGGAAGAAACCATGGCCACGTGAGCCATGAGCTCAGGCTTCAGCGCTGCAATGGTCGGGTTGGTGAGCTGGAGGCCAAGAGTTAAAGCCTGGCATTGCTGTCATGAAGCGATCCGGTGGATGTGAATCAGCAATGTCCCTGTCTGCGCTGGAACAACTTGTCAAGTTGCGCGAGCCCTGCTTGCTTTGCAGGCCGCATTGGCTTCACTGACGAAGGTCCTGAGCACGGTCTCTGCGGAGCCTGGAAACCCACAGGGCAACATGTTGATGCATTCCTGCGTGCACATCCGGAGGGTGTTTTGCGGTTTAGACTTGCCTCAGAGTGTATGCTGCTTCCTGAAACTCATTCCAGCTCACCACAAAGTGTGAATTGTCACATCACCACATGCTATGACCTGACAAAACTGAATCGACTCTGCAATGTGCTTTTGCAGCTGCTTACACACAAGATGTTGATGATTAACCATTCAGAACTGCGTCAGCAGGTTAGATGCCGACAGTCAACCCCCGCGCTGACCCTTTGGCAAAAAGCCCACAGATATTGACATCCATCACGTATGACACCAATCCAAATGCATTGGAATGAGCTTGATTACATGCGCCAGTGGCTAGTGTTTGTTTGCCATATCCTGGGCTGTCAATGCTTTCACTTGAAGAGGGCACACCATGGCGCCGAATTTACCATGCTGAACTCTACGGCGTTCACACTTGGTCGTTATTTTTTTGGCACGCATGACCCGCTGCCGTGGCTCGGCATGGGAGTAGCGCTTGGCTTTGATGCCAGAGCGAAGAATGCCAAGGCTGGAAGCGCTCGAGCTTCAGAATGCGGCTCTCAAGGCGGAATCTTGGCGCGAATTCGAGTCCCTTGATCTATTGACCCAATAGATTCGTGAAGAACAGCACATATTGGGATGGGCTTGGCAATGATACTCCGCAAAGATTTGCGCAGATACTGTCTTGAATGTACTTCCCGTTCTCAGGACACCCATGCTGACCATGCTGACAGCTCCGGAACCTTGGAAGCCTTGAAGGTTGTCCAGGACAGAGTTGCCCTGCGTTCAGAAGCGAATGTGAAGGCGCAGCCATGCGCGATACGGTTGAATGTCCAAATGTCCATTGCGAACACCAACTTTTACTGTCCAGCCACAGTACCCAGGAGAGGCAGCAAGAACTTTCCGAAGAGTTCAGGGAAAGTTTGGAGGCTTGGGTACATATGGTGTCTTTCTTCTCACTTGCTCGGGCTGAGTGAAGTCGGCTTGTCCCGGGCCGGCAGGCCAGTACGACGGATGACCTGGAGAGATGCTTGCAGGAATCGCGTGCGCAGAAGGAGCACCTCAAGGCGCCGACAGTGCGTGAGTCTGCGTGCAGAAAGGGCCTTCCTTGTCTTGCATTTGCCTGGTGGTGTCAATGGCTGCTTGGCGGCAATCAGAGCCATGCGATTCCAGATTCGAGGAAAGTTTGGCTGATGCTCAGCAGAAGGGATGAACACGAAGCAAGGCCGACAGGCCATAGATGAAAGGTATCGCCACATGTGAATCAAGCAAAGCCAGCGTATGTGCGACAAGTCGGGTATGTTTCCAATGTTCATTCAGCTTGTCCTCACAAATGGTATGCTACCGAAGTTCGGGCGATCTTTTATCGATGGTTCAGGGGCACTGAGCATCAGTCCAAAGTCATTGCTTGCAATTGTGCTAGGGTCAGTTTGCATAGAATTTGTCAACCCTGAAACTTGATGCTGAAAAACCCTTTGCTTGCTGTTTGCAGCCCCAGCGGTGAATTTCGGCTAAAAAAAGTCTCGACTGCGCATGAACAAGGAGCCCACAGAACAAGCTCGGACTAGCCGTGCCACGGCGCGTTTTGTTCGTGCGCAGCTGGCAGGAGGCGCTGGCGGAGGTGCATGCACGCCTCATCGGCGCCGAGCGATGCGAAGAGCTGCAGAGGTCTGCAGCTGAAGGAAGAACCGGGCAGCTTAGAAGGGGGAATCATGGAGGACCTTCTTTTTTTTTGGACACGGAGGGCTTTTGTTGGGGCTGACAATGCGTGTTTTCGAACCAGACCAGGCTGGAAGCGAAGATTGGGATGTAGGCACCGGCAGCTTGGCCCCTCCAAACCAGCAGAGAACAAGCGCTTCAACTTTTCTGGCCTGGTCAAGGCTGAACAGCGAGCCCACTTTTCCATGAACCCCGGGCAGTTTGCGTTATAATACAGGCGATTTTCTGTGAATTCCTTTTTCATTGTTACTCCGCAAGGGTAGCCGCTAAGTTGAGGGTTGGGCAGAATTGGTTCCCCGGCCAATGGGAACCTGGCTCGAAGCCGTTGGCTGGCCTGTGAAGCATGTTTTGACAGATGGTTGTCAGTGTGGACCATGTTTCAGCAATTGGTGCAGGCGGGATTGAAGCCGCATCGTCTTGCTTATGCTAGGAGGAATCTTGACAAAACATATTTTAGGCTAGTCGCCGATGGCAAAGCGCAATTCTCACCCGCAGACTCCGGCGGGATTGACTCAAGTAGGGCCAGGCTTACAACAAGTTGTTGGAGTAGTTTCCGCAAGGACGAAGTAGACTGTCTCATCAATTGCGGCGCCAGCTTGTGCCGACCAGCAGTTATTGGAAAGTTGCCCAAAACCTGTGTGCGAGTCTCTGCTTGGTATTCCCTGAATGGAAGCTGGTGCTGACGGCTTTGCGGTCCACCAGTACAGTACGGCCAGACAGATTTCAGGTCTTTGCCGAATCATTCTTACCGGAGACCTTGGTACCCGGGAAGCGTAGAACGCGCGTGCGTTATGCACCAGGTCTGCCTTCGAGATGAGGGACGAGATTCACGCTTTGACCCTGGCCGAGGCCAGCAACTTTCCAATACTCATCATGCAAGTGCATCCGTTGGCGGCCTGTGCGGCATGTTCACAATAGATACATAACAGATATGTCACGTCTGAGATACAAGTGGGACTTTGGACACAAGTGAACTTCTGAGGTACGCTAACCTATCTACGCATGTGGAGTGTTCGGACTTTTGGAAGATATGCGACCAACACGTCTGGGCAGAGCGCACAGGCCGAGAGAAAGGAATCCTCGGAGCTTCAGAGGCCCGAGACCCAGTCCGCGACCGGCCGGGAGAGCTACTGTTGATTCCACCGTATGATGTGGTCCAACAGGCATAAAACATCGGATGCTGAGGCCTCCTAAGGCCTCCTAAGGCATCCTGAAGCATGTGCGTTTGCAATGCTGAGGGCTGAGGTGAAGGTGGCGGAAGAGGCACGGCTTGCGCTGAAAGCATTTACCCAAAGTCCGTTTCGCGCGATGTTCTCAGCCCTATGAAAAGAAAAAACAAGAAGACCGTTACCTGGATCATGTGTTGCATCGTGTTCATTTGAGGCCCAATCCTGGGTAGACGCCTGGGTTTTGATGATCCAATCATAGGCGCAGTTGCCCCTATTGTTTGCATCATATTTTGGGCAGAGCATCTGTTGATTTACTTGGCTTGGCTCTCGAACTTGTTGGACTTAGGCATTGGTGGATGATCTCCGCGCGAAGCTGGAAGCGAGGGAGCGGCGAGCGCCGCCCTCATGCGGGGTGCCTTGAGGCCTGTGTCAAGCCTGGGATCCGCTCCGATCCAGTCGTTCCTTAAAACAACCAAGCACGTGTATGTTTTCCTTTGCGGCACTTGCCTATGTTGCGAAGGCAAACCCAGGCAGTAAGCATGAGCTGTGGGTTTGCAGTACTGTGAGGTGCACGAACATGGACAAAACATGGCTCAAGCCACTATTGGCACAAGTGGGCCGGTCCAGTTACGCAGCAAGGTTTTGCCGGTTCGCGATGTGTGACTTTGCTCAGCAGATTCGGCGGGTTGCTGCCGACAGCAGAGAACTATGCCCTGTTGACGATCGGGGTGGCGAAGATTGTGGGCGGTGCGGCGGCGGCCATCCTCACCTATGCGGGGATTTTGGTGAGTGGGGGGTGTGAGAGGTCTTCTGGGACGTCCTGCGCCATGAAGAGAACCTGGAGGAAAAGGTAATGACATGGAAAGAGGCGGAGGTCAGCAAGAAGGAGAAGAACAGCAAGGCGTACCTTAGCTACAGGCAGATTAAGAAGGAGCGGTAAGAGTTTAACAAGGACTAATCTTTCCGCTCCTTCTTAATCTGCCTGTAGCTAAGGTACGCCTTGCCGTTCTCGGCCTTCTGCTTCTTCGCCGGCAAGGCTGGAGTGTCCACTTGACATGTCCCACTTTGAGATGGGTCGCCTCATGGACCCAACCGACAAGCCTTTGCTCCATATGCTGATGGCTAAGCATTCTGGTTCCCATAACGGCAGGTCTAGGTCCTTTCATCTATGCCAACTTCTATGTTGCCAGCGCTTGTGGCTTTGGGCTCTTCCAGTTTGTCTGCAACTTCTTCATGGCAAGCTGCACTTCGGGCGCTTCACGTCCCGGCCACTCTTCCAGGCCCGGAGCTGCCTGATGCTGCTCGGACTGGCAAGTATGCCTGCTGGTTCTTTGCCACCGCCACATCCAAGGCTTCTTCTTCTTGTTGCGTCACATGGCAGAGGGGTACTCCGGCTGGCCTGCATTTTGATTTTGGGCATGCTCTGGCTGCTCGATCTCGCCACAGATGCCGGGCGCAATTGGTGCCAGCACGTTTTTGTGGCTCAGCGGTCCACGTTCCAATGGAGACGTTCTTTGAACGAAACTGCGCTTGGCCTACAATCTTACTGAGAGCTTGGAGAACCGCACACGGTACAACGAAGGCTAGCATGTCATTCACCATTTTCCCAAAGTGCCATTGGAGCGAGAATCCTGAAACCAGAAGGTGGAGAAGCTGAGCCGCTAGAAGGATCTTTGGCTGCTCACCTTCATCAACAGCTCCATTTGGGATGTTTGGTGAGTTTGGTGCCATGTGGCCAGCAACAAGTTGCCGCCGCCGTCCACATTCCCACTGCAGCACGCCTGGACCCCCAATTAGAGGTGGTCAACGAGCTGAAGGCTCGCTTGCACCGAGTGGTGGCCGAGAAGGTCGACTCACAGGTTGCGTTGATGACTCTGCAGCGGAAGTGAGCACAACTGGCCACCATTTTCAAGTTATGACATTATAAATGCAGGAAACAGCAGGACACAAACAGATATTCCATAATATTTTTACATGGATCTGGGAAAGTTACAGCGAGCTCAGCGATTCGGCGTCAAACGAGCTCACCCTTGTTGAATTTCCTTCAAGGCGGCGGTTCCTCTTTTTTCCCATTTGGGAAGTATAGTAATTTGCCCAGATGGATACTCAGCATTGGCTCCATTGTTATGTGAGACAGGCCACTTTTCGCGAATGCATAATG